CCCAACCTACCCCACTTTCCTGGACTCCCCAGTGCTCTTTGACCGAGCCCTTGGAGGCTGCGGCGGCGCTCGTAGGGCGGTCTTGGGGTGAGGCCCCACCCCCGGGGCGCCCGCCAGGCCCGGCTCCGATGTCAGCGCCCTCGCGGGGTGCGGGAGCCACAGGCTCGGGTTCCCGGCCCGGCCAGGATCTCCGGGACTGGGGCTCCGCATTCCCAGCTTTGCGGGTGTCTCCTCGGGACGTTGTTGGTCGAATCGGGGAGTCATGACCGGGAGATGCCAGTGGTAATGATAACGATGACGGTGATGATAATGAGCCATCTCAGTCTCCATAGTTTTGGTGGTCTGTCACTGAGGATGTTAGCATTATTTGCTGGTCTGCAGAACGAGCTTGTCATTTGGGAAATCCGATTCTCCCATTTTGCAGATGTAGAAGCCTTGCCACGGTCACATACAAGTAATGATAGCTGGGATTCAAATTCGGTTTTGCTTCATGTGAGGGCCCACGGTCTAAACATTATGCTGCCTTTTTAGCTGAAGGTAGAATTAGGGCCGGGCGCGGTGGCTCACGCCTGTAATCCCAACACTTTGGGAGGCAGAGGCAAGAGGGTTGCCTGAGTCCTGGGGTTCAAGACCAGCCTAGGCAACATGGCAAGACCTCGTCTCTACACTAAATCAAAAAACTAGCTGGGCTTGGTGACGCGCACCTGTAGTTCCAGCTACTTGGAAGACTGAGGCGAAAGGATCACCTGAGCCCAGCAGGTCGAGGCTGTGGTGGCAGTGAGTGTGCCACTGCACTCCAGCCTGGGCCACAAAGTGAGACTCCTCAAAAAAAAAAAAAAAGAAAGAAAGTAGGATTAGGATCTAATTCAAATGCATTGGATGTCTATTTGTGTATTTGACACTTTTTGCACAATTACTTCGTGAGGGAGGTGTTGAAGTCCACTTTTTGTAGAAAAGGAAACGGACAGAGGTCAGCCCAGCTGTTTGGCTTTGGGCAAGTTACTTAACCTCTCTGTGCCTCCGTTTTCTCAAATACAAAATGAGGCCAGTGATATCTATTTCATGGTTGTGAAGCTTTAAACATATGATACGTGTATTTCTGCAATACCGCTGACAACTTAAAAATGTCAGCCGGGCTCGGTGGCTCAGCCTGTAATCCCAGCACTTTGGGAGGCTGAGGTGAGAGGATTGCCTGAGCCCGTGAGTTCGAGACCCGTCTGGGCAACTTGGCGAGACCTCATCTCTACAATAAATCAAAAAATTAGCCGGGCATGGTAGGGCACACCTGTAGTTCCAGCTACTTGGAAGGCTGAGGTGGAAGGATCGCCGGAGCCCAGCAGGTCAAGGCTGTGGTGGCCGGGAGCGGCCGCTGCACTCCAGTCTGGGTGACAGAGTGAGACTCCAACTCAAAAAAACAAAACAAGCCGGGCTCGGTGGCTCAGCCTGTCATCCCGCGCCTTTGGGAGGCTGAGGTGAGTGGATTGCCTGAGCCCGCGGGTTCGAGACCCGCCTGGGCAGCGAGACCTCATCTCTGCAATAAATAAAAAAATCAGCCGGGCATGATAGCGCGCGCCTATAATTCTGGCTACTCGGAAGGCTGAGGCGGAAGGATGGCCGGAGCCCAGCAGGTCGAG